CCCCCCCCCCCCCCCCCCCCCACCTCCCATGCATGGATTAAAAGCATCTGCCACACGCCTGGCTTATACTAGATAATTTAATGGTGCACAAGCAAGGCATCTTGTGAAGAGAGTAGATTAAGGAGGCCTGGGGATAGAACGATTAAGATTTCCTTCTCTTCCCCTTCAATGCATTGCAGGTAAATATATTCTCTTTCTTTTGGACCTGTAGACGGGCAACAGATTTCCTGTTACTTTACCTTGAATGTGTCTCTAGTAAGTATTAAATCCTCTAAACATGGTCATTATGTCTTATCTGGCTCTGTCCCTTCAACACTTTTCACAGTGTGTTTGCAGAATTTTACTTAGTGGAATTGTTAAACAAATACGAAGGGAAAATGCCAGTAAACACAACAAGATCAATCACACATTGTTGGGAGAGATGGTAAAATTAAGGAAGTATAACTGGCAGTCTCTTATTGAGGCAAATGAGATAATTTCCTTTAAGGATTTTGAAAAGCTGTTTAAAAAACTTTGAAAAGCAAATACATCAATGGGTAGAGCCTACATGATATCATTCTGAAACAAAAGTCCAATTCAACCAGCATTGGATTAGGAAGGAGCCCTGTGGTGCTGGAGGATTCTGTGTGGCAATCCACAACCTGGGAACCCAGTGAGCCTGAGATAAGGAGAGATAAAAAATTTGAAGGCCTTAATCGTAGGAAACAAACCCTTAGGACAGGATGCATTTAGGAAAGGACACCCCGGAGGAAACCACAAAGGCAGTTGAGAGGGCCTGGCATGGCAGACCAGATGGAAACTCGGACAGAAAAGATCCAAGACCCCCTGAGAACTGAGAGGAAGGGTGCGGCCAGTCCTCTTGAGGGAATCCGAACAGATTTCCCAGATCCCTTGAACTTGAAAATCTCTCCCATACAAACATTCTGGATGTATGTTTGCCTGGGAAAGACTGTTTCTCCTGCTTGGCACTCCTTACTTACTTGTAGCTCTTTGTGTACATTTGAGACCTCATGTCCCCCACACCCTCACCCCCATCCACTTTAGCATGTCTATTCTTGTGTCCTTGAGAAGTCAAGAATTTGAAACAGAGCAAGGAGGGGTATATGGGAGGGTTTGGAGGGAGGAAAAAGAAAGGAAAATGATGTAATTCTATTATAATCTCAAAAAGATAAAAGAAGCATTTTTTTAATTGAAGGCCCTGGCTTGAAGCTTCTGAAAGAATTCCTGAAAGATAGCTTGAGATGATTAAAAAAAAAAAAAACTAAAAAGAGATTGGAAGAACCCTTTCTTAAAATGTACAAGGTCCTAGGGCCCCAGCACCAGGAGGAAGAAAAAAAAAAAACCAAACAAACCCCCTTTCTTAAAATGTACAAGGTCCTAGGGCCCCAGCACCAGGAGGAAGAAAAAAAAAAAAACCAACCAAACAAACCCCCAAAACTTTAGGGCTTTTTTATTGTTGTTGTTTGCCTTATGTAATATAAGTGTGTTTCCTTCATGCATGTATGTGTACCATGCCTATGCTTGGTGCCCACAGCGGTCAGAAGGGGTTGTAGGGCACCCTGGAACTTGAGTCTAGGATGGTTTTGAGTTACTGTGTGGGTACTGGGAACTAAAACCAGGTCTTTTGCCAAAGCAGCAAGTACTCTTAAACACTGAGCCATCTCTCTAGCCCTGAAAAAGAAAACTCTTTAACGAGAAGGTAAGATGCATCTGTTGTGCAAGCATGAGGACCTGAGTTTGGATCCTGTACCCACAAAAAAAAAAGGCAAGAGTGAACAAAGAAGACCCTAAGAGAGACATACATGAATACGGCTAGGAAGGGGAACAAGACAAGATCTCCTGAGTAAATTGGAAGTGTGGGGGGATAGGGGGTACGGTGGAAGGAGAGAGGGAGGAGAGAAGGGAAGTGGCGAAAATGTATAGCTCAATAAAAGAAAAAAAAGAAAAAGAAAGGAGGAAAGAAAGAAAGAAAGAAAGAAAGAAAGAAAGAAAGAAAGAAAGAAAGAAAGAAAGAAAGAATTCAAGTATGGTCATGCATCCAGCCTATTACCCCAGTGTGTGCAGAGACAGAAGGATCATGGGGCTTGCTGACCACCAACCCAGTCCCAGGTTCAGTAACAGACCCAGTTTAAAAGTAATAATGGGAAGTGACAGAACAGGACATCTGAGGTCCTCCTCTGGTCTCTGTACACACACATGCACACATTCACATGCACACACACACACACACACACACACCTGTTAGGGACATAGTGTTGGGAGACCAGTTTGGGCTGAGCGAGGTCCTCAAGTCTCTTGGTCAAATGAACTTTTAAAGCAGCCTCAGAAACAGGGCGAATAGTATCTTGATTTCCCCAAAACAACCTTCTGTTAATGAAGCAGAAAAGCAAAGCATGGTTTTAAATAAAATCCTGTAATAAGCACTTCAAAGGTATCTCAACATCTATTTGGATTAGCCTTCAAGAACTTGCTGTCTTTTATAATAGTTGTGTGTGTGTGTGTGTGTGTGTGTGTGTGTGTGTGTGTGTGTTGACACGCATGCCATGGTGTGCAGGTGAAAGTGGGGGCAACTGCAGGATTGGCTGTCTCCTTCCAGCATGTGGGTTCTAGGGATCAGACTCAGGTCATCAGGCTTGTCGGCAAGTGTCCTCAGCTGCTGAGCCATCTCACCAGAAAGAAATAAGCTATGGACATTAAAATAGAAATAGAATAAAACTGCCAAAGAAGAAAAAGAGAAATTCTATAGCAGGAGAGTCTGGGGTCTGGGCTGCTGGAGACCCAGAGACAGACAGGTCCTGGGCAAAGACTCGGAAGCTGAAGAACACTATGCCGAGAGGCTGCAAAGGGGACTTGCAGGATGGACATAAGACTTTCAAGAGAGTGTGGAGTCCCAAGTGGGGAGTGCTTCTCAAAACTTTGTGTATTAGAAGCATCTGGGGGAGCTTCTAAAGGCTCCTGAAGCTGCTTCCCTAAACAAACTAAATCAGATTTCTGGGTATGGCATTCAGTCTTTGATCAGTATCAAAGTTCCCTCCATGATCGTAATGTGCAGACTAATTTTGGAACCACCGACTAATGTGTTCATGTTCTGAACACATTGAACACTGAACCTTCCATGTGCTCAGTTCCCTGAGGTAACAATACTGGCAAACCTGCACCCGAGATGCAGGTGTAATGGTCGACTAAGAATACCTACTTGTGTGGTTGATGTAGCAAACACAGTCATTGCAGACAAGACCATATACTATTGCCTTACCTATCTGGCGTTCCCCATTGCTTTTTCGGTCTAGAGAGATCTTCAGCTCTCTTTCTGGAAAAAAAACTAACAAATACCAGCTAGTTAATTCAGAGCATTCTTAGGAATATTTTTACAACAGGTGACTCCTTGTCAAAGAGATTCTATGTGGGGAGGGGAAAGGGTGACAGTGCATATTTGGGGTGACTTAGACTGCTGAGAGGGATCCAAAGAGATGACTCAGTGGAATGGCTAAGAATATGTCTTGCTCTTGCTTAGTGCCGAAGTTCAGTTACCAGCACCTAGGTTGGGTGGTTCACAACTGCCTGTAACTTGAGTTTCAGGGAATCCAGCTCCAGAGAACCTGAGCCTCCAAGGGTACCGGTAACACGAGTTCTAATTGGTCTTAATAATAAAAAACCCACAGCCAGACATCTGGTCAAATGCTGAAAGATCAGAGAGAGAAAAGAGCAAGCCACAGCCTTCTCAACTTCCCAGAGGAAAAGAGAGCAAGTTCCTGTCTCCTCCTGCCTTATATTCCTCTCTCCACCCAGCCTTATCACTTCCTGTCTGTACAGACCTCCAGACCTCTATGGTTAACTAGGGGCTAGCTCTGCCCTCTGATCTTCAGGCAAGCTTTATTTGTTAGAGTATAAACAAGACATCACCACAGGTACCTGTACTCACAGGCACATGCCAAACTTCAGGATCTTTTCTACCACCCTCACCCTAGTTACCAGATGCACTGGTCTCCATGTCCCCTGCCTCCACACATGGCCTCCACCCACCCATTCCCCACATCGTAGCCCCAGTGGGCTTTCTAATCCATGTGTAGAACTCCTGCACTCTTTTCTAGACATGACTTGGCTGTTGCACTCATGACCTTTCCGTAGCTATGGTGACTTCACATGCACAACTAGACCATAAAATAAACAGTGTAACGGTACCCCAGATGCCAGCACTGCTTTCATGAAAAACCTCATGGGGTTGGAACACAATCTGCCCACCTAAGAGGTTATTACTCCAGCACTTTGGGGATTCTGGGTTTTACTCTTTTTAAATGAAGCCCGTTTCCTTGTACTAATTTTTATTGAGATATAATATGTGTATATCTTTATGTGGTAGTGTCAGCACTATGTGGTAGAATCAGCACAGTGTGTAATATAGCAAGGTAGTGTGTGTGTGTGTGTGTGTGTGTGTGTGTGTGTGTGTGTGTTGAGAGCTTTGCTCTTCTAATCATTTTGAAATATACAGTTTTTTTCTAAACCAATAGTTTTCCTACTGTGCATTTTTCTCTGTTCTGTGTTTTGGGGTCTCTTTAAAATTTTTGCACGTATTTACTCACTCCTCTTCACACTCATAGAAGACTCTGACTAAAATTTTTATGTATCCTGCTAGTCATAGTGGTCTGAGACAGAATTTTGTCTTTAAAAGGAAAAAAGAAAAAATTTACCTGGTCCCTTAGTTTTAAAAACATTAACAAATGTTTATGAAGAACAACATAACAACAAAATCCTTCAGAACATACTGGTAGAATACACACACTTCAACTGGTTTATTTATTGAAATCTCTCAGCTAATCTCTGGCATGAGTTAATGCCCTGTGAAGGTGTGGTTAGTATTATGTTTTGTGCACTATGTTTCCATAGCTATACCTCAGACAGCCTGGTCTGTCCTCAAATTCTATGTACAGCCAAGAATGACCTTGAACTTCTGACCCTCCTGCCTCCTTCTCCCACAAGATGGGATGGAAGGATTGTGCCACCATGCCCAGCTCCTTGTCATGGATCTCAGCATGGTCTCCCTGTCTTTCTTGAGGACAGCATTACCTCACAGGGTCTTGTCACAACCATGTGTAGAAATAAAAAAAAGTATAAAAGTTTGTAATTCATGAAAGGGAAAAAACAAACAAACAAAAAAACCTGAGGCCAGGGAGACAACTCACAGATAAACACACCAGCTACAGAAACCTGAGGGCCTGAGTTTCCTCAGGACTCAAATAAAAAGCAGGAGTTTATGGCACACATTCATAAACACACACACACACACACACACACACACACACACACACACAATGAAATGGAAGGCACAGAGAGTAGAATCTCCCTGGAGCTCGAGGGCCAGCTAGCCTGTGATACACCATCGCAGCTTAAACAAGAAAGTGGAAGGTGAGAACCAATGCCAGAAAGCTGTCCTCTCTGACTTCCATGTGCATGCAGAAACAAGAATACACCACAGCTCCCTCTTTCTCCACCACCCCTACCCCCACCATCTGATCAAGGCTCCCAGTACCATCCCCTTTGGTTCGCAAGTACCTAAGAAAGTTTTTTTAAATCCTTTCTTTGGGCACACAGTAATAGGTGTGTTCTGGTCTCTCTGCTAACAGGACCCTGTGGAATCCTTCAGTGAGCATGCTATTTTACATTTCACTATCTGGTTCAACTTCTGCTTAGTCAGAGTTTCTATTACTGTGAAGAGACACCATGACCACGTCAACGCTTATAAAGGAAAAAGCATTTCATTTCGTTTCATTCCATTTGCTTACAGTTTCAGAGGTTCAATCCATTATCATCTTGTGGGGAGCATGGCAGCGTGCAGGCAGACATGGTGCTGGCTACATCTTGATATGCAGATAACAGGAAGTACATTGTTACATTGGGAGTAGCTTAAGCATAGGAGAACTCAAAGCCCATCCCCTCAATGACACACTTCCTTCAACAAGGCAACACCTACTCCAACAAAACCAACACCTCCTAATAATGTCATTCCCTTTGGGGGTAATTTTCTTTCAAACCACCACATATTCAGATTTTTTTTTTCATAACTAACTAGGCACAATGCATTTGAATAAATAACTACATGTCTAGGGAGGATATGGGCAGTTAATGGGGATGATGATATAATTTCCTTACATAATGAAGCCCCAATTAACCAAGTAAGCACAACCAAGCAGCAACAATAAGTAACAATAACAAGAAATTATAACTAACCCTCACAATCATTTTAAAGTATAAAAACAAAGTAGACACAGGGAACTGGAGAGAGAGAGCTGAGCAGTTAAAAGCATTTGCTGCTCTTGCAGAGGATCCAAGCTCAGTTCCCAGTGCCCACGTTGAGTCTCACATGTGTTAACTCCAGCTCCAGGGAATGCTCTCTTTTGGCCTCCACAGACAGGGATGTAACTCATACACATAAATGCAGGCAAACACTCACATACATCAAGTAAAGATAAGTGAATGTTATAAACAACAACAACAAAAACTAGGTATAAATTATTTTCATTGCCTGTTTAGCCACAGGGAAGTATGCTCATGTTCAGCGGGTATCATTTATTTGGAACGATGCATTTTGTTCATTTGTTTTGTTCTTGAGACAGGGTCTCACTATAAAGTTAAGGTTTCCTGTGATTTGATATATACTCAGGGGTTGGCTCAAACTCATAGCCTCCCAGCTTATAGCTCCCAAATGATGGGATTACAGGCAAGTACCACCATGCCTGACTTGATTTGATGCAGACTTTTAAATGAAAACCTAGAAATAGCCGGGCGTTGGTGGTGCCAGCACTCAGGAGGCAGAGGCAGGCAGATCTCTGTGAGCTCGAGACCAGCCTGGTCTCCAGAGCAACTGCCAGGATAGGCTCCAAAGCTACTCAGAGAAACCCTGTCTCGAAAAACAAAAAAACAAAAAAAAAAGAAAGAAAGAAAAGAAAAAAAGAAAAAGAAAACCTAGAAATACTCAATACTACTTCTACCAGCCCTAACACTCAACTCCCGTACAACCATGGAAAGCAACGCATGCTTTCTGGATTTCATTTGCTCCCAGTAAATTCTAGTCCACACAGCCACCTCATCCCCATTTTCAGTTTCTTGTGAGAAAATATTTTTAAACCGCAAAGCATCACATACAAATAAGGCAGGAATATTTACTGTCTAACAAAGGAGGGGGGAGGAAACAAAAACAGAGGATAGATAATCTAAAATGAGTCTAAATAATAAGCATAAATGTAAAGGTGGTATATATTTAAATAAATATGAGCCTGGCAGTGATGATGCATACCTTTAATCCCAGTACTCGGGAGGCTGAGGCAGGTGGATCTATGTGAGTTTGAGGCCAGCCTGGTCTACAGGGTGAGTTCCAAGACAGCCAGGGCTATTACACCAAGAAACCCTGTTTCAAAAGACAAATAACAACAACAACAAATGTGAATGGGTTTAGTCCACTTTTTTAAAATGTAGGTAAGACCACATATGGAGTTATTCATTTCTCATACACATGAACTACAACTGTCGACCCTTTCCCATTCAAGTGTGTGCTCTCCTAAAGTACATCTTGGTCAAAGCAAGAGGTAGCATCTGTTTTCACGCTCACATACACCCTTTTCCGTTTGCACCACAGGCACTTGTTTATTTCGTTAGCTACTGTGCCTTACTTAGATGTAAGGAGGATCAAGATATATTCACCTGGAGCTTCATGCAGTCTATGACACAAGATTGTCAGTACAGAGTCCTATGACCCTGGAAAGTGTAGGTCTACTATGAAATACACCAACCATGAGTATCCCAGGCACCTCTTACTGTGTCTTTCTTCTTCCTTCCTTACTGTTGTATCATTTTTTAAAATTTTATAGGTATTAGTGTTTTGCCTGCTTGTATGTCTATACACCATGGGCATGTAGTGACTGCAGAAGCAGAAAAAGGTGATGGAATCCTTGGAACTAGAGTTACAGATGGTTGTGAGCTGGTATGTGAGTGCTGGAATCAAACCTGGATCCTGTGGAAGAGCAGCCAGTCCTCTTAAGCATTGAGCCATCTCTCCAGCCCCTTTCTCTCTTTCTTTCTTTCTTTCTTTCTTTCTTTCTTTCTTCCTTCTTTCCTTCCTACTTTCCTTCCTTTCTTTCTTCCTTCCTTCCTT